CAAAATGGTCTTTCTGCAGAATATAATAGAGTAATTGGGGATGGTTTCAATTAGGAAAAAAAAAAGAAAATATGTTGTTCATATAAAGTATTCAGAAGTGTGTATTTTATATAATAATAGGTAACTACATAAAAGTGAAATTTGAATCAACATTTTTAAGGTTATTGTTTATTATCTTTTAAAAGTGTGGTGATCTTGCCTTTCTGTTAGAGTGGCTCCTTGAAAATAAAATATTCTCTCATTTAGAAAATTTGTATCTAGGACACAATGTAAAATGATTTGAGACTTTCAATCTTGATTAGGAGTATTAAAGTATTTTGAGAAACTGGATCTCAGATATGAAATACAAGACATGAAAGTTAAACACTAATGCAGTAGCAATCACATTTTATATTTATTTAATATATCTGTGTTTTAGATTAATTAATCTCTTTTTTTCTTTATTGAAATAGGAGGGAGAAGACCATTGTGAGTGAGTAATTACAGGTTGGTAGCCATTTCTCATTTTATAATCGAATAGTTGTGAAGGGACTTTGGAAATTGCAAAACATAACTATGGAAATGTGGGTCATTACATTATTATCAACTCTAACGAGTTACTACAGGATCAGATGTTTCCTTTCTTAGAAGATGGTCATGCTTATTTTTGTTTGTTAGTAAGCAGTACAGGCAGCCCAATCAGACTGCAAGTAAATTTTGTATTTAAAAACTAAAAGCTACCTTAAAAACTATAAAGTATTTTGTATAATGTTTATAAGTGCAATGCTAAAGAACTGTTTCTCAGCATAAAACAATCAGGTACATACTTGACAATATTTTAGAATCTGTCATAGGAGAATTAGAGGACTGTTGATGTAGCTCATCAGTAGAGTACTTGCCTGGCATGTGTGAGGCCCATCTCCAGTGCTGGAAAAAAACAGAAGAAAGATAGGAGATTTAAAAAACTCTCCACTATATACAAAAAGAAAAGGGCAATAGCCTGCTGAAAAATGCACATTTGTGACAAAAATATATATTCCCAATAGAGGAAAAGGCCTATAAGTCAATAGGAATGATATGAATGTTCCAATAAAAGACATGAATGAGAAATTCACAAGAGAAAAATTGCCAGCACATATAAGAAATGTTCAAAATTATTAGTGAAGAAATGCCAATTATGACAATGCTTTTTTTGTTTCACATTAGCCGAGGTCAAGAATAAAGTGGGAAGTGTTGAAGTTTGGTGGTAAGGTACACTCTCACCAGTTGACAGACATAACTTTTCTGGAAGACACTTGGCTATATGAATTAAGAACTTCAAAACTTCTATGCTCTTTTTCTCAGTAATTCTACTGTACACTCAGACTCATAAAGATTTATATGTATAAATGTTCACATTGTGGTATTATATAAAAAAATTTTAACGATATAATTAGAGTATAGGTAAATGAAATACATTCCACCATGTACTACAAGAAATTGAATGCAGGCTTGAAGAATAACTTTAGCAGTATTGGATGACTGAGAGGGGATGGCATAGGAAGAAGTTTGAGAGGTCAGCACAGATTTAACAGGACACATCCCAAAAGGAGGACGGCCAGGCAGCCCAGGGTTCTTTACCCATCCTCAGATTCTGGGAGGCCCCTCAGCTCCCCACAGTTCCTTAAGGTAAATGAAGATTAAATTCTAACAATGACCCAAAGACCTACACTGAAAGGGTTAGCATTCCTACAGTTGTGACCTTTATATTATATATGTCAAAACCACAAATAACATGATTAGAGAAAGTTGCTTACACACCATTTAACACTTGTCTACTTCAGGTTTGTTTGTTTCCAAAATTGCTGTTGCTTCACTTCTATCTTCAAAATAAAATAAAAGGTTAAAGAGAATCAAGGATTAGCACACCTACAGTATGTTTATTTCTGAGGCATTAGTATTTTAAATTGGATTACCTACAAGAAACTGGGACTTCATTCCTAAATATTAGGGATTGCCGGTGTTTATAATGTAAATATTTAATGATGTGTTTTATGTATTTAGTAATTTCAGTTGTAAAACCTTTTTTTTTTGTAGTATTAAGGATTGAATCCAGAACATCGAGCAAGCACTCTACCACTGAGCTACATCTTGAGCTCTATGAAACATTTTAGTGGATGAATTATGACAATCAAAAAAAGTAAGACTTTTGATCCTTTGTTTTTGACCTTTATCACTGAATCTTGACAGGTACTGTTGTGGCTCAGGTCTGGATGTCTCCCCAGAGCTTCATGTGGTCATAGGCTGGATCTAGAGTGTGTGAAGCTTGAACTGATTCGTGATGCAATGCTAGGCTGAAGGGCAGTAGGGTTAAGGGTGTGAGTGCTGCCCGCCCTAAGTAGTCTGAACAAGATAAAAGGGTCAGAGGGACACTGTTAACGCTCTTGTTACCTCTGCTGCCTTGTGGGCCTCATGTTGTTTCTGCTCTGTCAGGCCTGTTTGTCATCCCTGCCTTGGAGTCAGCTGATTATGGGCTGAAACTTCTACAAACTGTAAGCTAAATAAATCCCTTCTGTTTTAACCTTGGGTGTCCAGTATTTTGTCTCAGCCACAGAGAGAAGTAAATAACAAGGTACCAAGCCCTCAGTGGATATTTGGAGCTTGTCATTTAGCCATGGTTTTGCTAACACTTCAAGCATTTAGGAACTGTAGACATAATAACAAAAGTATTTATAAAAATTAGATTAGCAATATAAGTGAACAATTCATGGACAATAAAAAGCTTCCTGAAATATCTGAGGCATATTTAATTTTCTCAAAATTTGCTAACTTACAGATAACAGAGTGATGACAAGCAAGTGGATCATAGGCCAGCTATGGGATTTTGATCCCCTGTATCCCCAGAGAAGCCAGCCTGTGGTTTGGGATTTATGGTCCCTCTACTGCTCTCCTGATACCCACCATCTGGTCATCACCAGAGAAATCAGGTGCAGAACACATGAGCCTAATCAGAACAAAAGCCCCTGCAGCTGCTAGAGAAAAAGGTCTTTTAGATGCCCAAGGGTAAGGTAACCAGTCTTAGGTCAGTGTGGTAGGGAGGAAGGTGATGTGTGTATGTGTGTGTGTGTGTGTGTGTATCTGGAAGAAGGATCATCACAACAATTCATAAATTAATAAGAATAAATTTGGACACAAGAATTAAAAAAATGAATCACAGCAATGTAAAATTTACATAAAAAAACAGATGCTAATGACTAATTTGGGGGGGTACCAGGGATCAAACTTGGGCCCTCGTGCTTGCGAGGCAGGTGGCAGAACCACTGAACCAAAACCCCAGCCCACTAATGACTAATTTCAAGAAAGTAAAAATAAGGGCATCATTTAATTGCCTTTTAAAGAAAACTGATAAAAAATTTACTGACTTGATGGTGATATATCAAGTAAGTACTTAGTTGATATAAACTTTGATAGAATTATAGTTGGAATGTCTGTCTGTATTATAAATAAAAGAATGTCTAGGGAAATCAAAACAAGATCAAATATGGGGAATGGATTATTTATTAACTATAGTAAAACCTGTAAAATGGAGAGGCATGAAGGGACAGTGCCTCCCACACCTCCTCATCAGCACCCCTTCTGGTGACTTCTGCAGGCCTATGTCCCAGTACCTTCCAGTTGAGCATACAGGGCTGGCCAAGACTCTGATCAGCTCCTCCCTTCCCTGGAATGACTTTTTTTTTCAGTACTAGGGATTGAACTGAGCACATTCACACTGAGCTACATTGTCAACACCTTTTTTTTTATTTTAAGAAAGTCTTGATAGGTCACTAAGTTTCCCAGGCTGGGCTTGAATTTAACAATCTCCCTACCTCCACCTCCCTGAGTGGTGGGATTTCAGAGGTGCACCATCACGTCAAGCTTGGAATAATTCTTGTTGCTGTTCTTAAAGTAAGTTTTATGTTTGGTGTCCAACTCCTGTTTTGACTATTCTTGCACTGAGGTCCTAAAATCTTCTAAGCTACCATTCCCATCTCCATCAATTTTCGGTCTCAATCAGAAAAAATATCAGTTAATTCACATAGCAGATTCACAGCACAGCCTTTATCTCCTACTTCTTACTTCTTAGCAATCTGTTGTTCCACTGAGCTCCAGATTGGGTGGGTAAGAATAAGAAACAGGATAAATAGAAATGGATGAGAGAGGGAATACGGGAGGGCAGGAACAGGGAGAAAATGATTAGAGGTGTTTGGGTTTCTTTTAACCAGAAAATAAGAGCAATAGAAATATTTGGATTTTCTAAGTAAAAATACTGGTTCACACATATGCTTTATCTACCAAGAATTTTCCCTACCTTTTATTTATATTCTAAGGCAGAGTATTTTATTTCACTAGGGTTATCATAATGAAAGATCATTTTAAAAAATGGGGACAGAAAATGTGGATTTTGTAACAATAATCAGTGATTATAGGTATAATAGTAATGTATTCCATTCTACTGCTTATATATATAGGATAGGAAAGTAGAACTGAACATTTGCATGAATCTTTAGTCCATCTTACATTTTGTACCTTTTACTGTGTGACTTGTTGTTCTGAACACCGTATCACAGCACAGCACCTGTCCCTGAAGAGGGATCAAGAACAACTTAGTGAATAAGTGAATGAATGATGCTCATACAGCCTGGGCATTACTAACATTCATCTTTTTTATTTTGGGTGAGTGTATATTTCTCTCACACATTGGTAAATGCAGAAAAACAGTTTCAAATTTAGATAAGGATAAGACCCCTGGCTTTATGAGATCATTCATCTTTCCTGTTTATGGTTTCAAGTTATTATAAGATAGTTTTCTTATTGGAAAGTGACTCCAAATGAGGAAGTCTGAGTTCAAGGCCTTTGTTTTTTTCTAAAGTCTTACCCAAAAGGAAGTTAGTATGAGATGAATTACGTTGACTTAAAGCACCACAGAGATGAAACTTGAAGCAGGAAGCAACATGCCATCAGCGCACTGAATGGAGCACATTTGTGTCATGCGAGTAGACATGACAAAAACAGTGCTCCTTAAATTACTTGTGGCAATAGTGATCACATTCATTTTAATCTTGCCAGAATATTTTAAGACATCAAAAGGTGAGTATATAATTGTGACTAGCTTTTCTTTCTTAATTTTAAAAAATTGGTTACAGAAAAGAACTTTTAAGATACTTTTAAGAACTTTTGTGCTTGAGGTGAAGTTCTGTGTGAAAAACTAGTAGAATAAAATGAAAATTTAATTTTAATTGATAGTTATATGGTACAGTAACCTCATTCATATTACTGTAGCATACATAAAAATGAAAAGAAATATTTGAGGTCTGTAGTCTGGATTTCAAACATTGAGTTCACAATAATTTCTTGTCACATGATTTTGCTCCTTGAAAATTTCCTTCAAAATATTTTTAAGTACGCTTTCACATTCTGTAGTTATTTAACAAAGAAAGTACCATTTATTATGCTAATAATGCTTGAATTCCCACTTTTGCATTTTCAGGTAAATAATTTACTGCTGCTTTTGGAAAAATAAAAGCACTTAGATATTTTCTAAATATAATGGAAATAAGATGGGTGCAAATTTAAGCAGGTGTGTGTATTTGTGACTAGAGAAAAATGGAACAAAATTAACTCTGATTATTTCAGAGAATTGTTATGTGAATGCTGAAACAGGGTTAGGAAAATAGAGGTAAATTTAAACTATTTTTATATGCTGGTAAAAGATCTGGAAACGTTAATGTAAATGTTTGGGTGATAATTGTGCTACCTAGAATTTAATAAGGAGAAGTAAAAATAAAATGTTGTACTCTATCATTAGAGACATATGGATTAACTGAAACCAGAAAATAACTTATATTTGATGCCTTGTTGCAATGAATACTTATTGTTGCATATATGTGATACTAAGTAGCCAGATGAAATATTTTTGCTAGCTATATTTGATGACATATTGCAATGATTATTTAATGTTGTATATTAGATGATGTAAAGTAGCCAGATAAAAATATTTTTGTAAACAAATATGGTAATGACAATTTTGTGAATGAGTAAAATTTTAAAATTTCCTTTGGTTTGCTGCCATTATATTGCTCAGATTAATCAATCATAGCATATATTTTTAATGCTTGATTTACGAGTGAAAATGGATTATACAGAGACTAGTTAAGGAAAATCTATTTTTAAACTGTAGTGGGCCGAAAGCACGCTTATTTAATTATCTGAGTTAAGAGATGTATATATCTATCATCTCCAAAAAATCATGTTGGATCTAATGAAAATCAGGTTATTGATCCACAAAATATTTACTAAACTATTTACTAAGCATTGGTTGGTATTTAATGAGAACTAGTGGGTCTAAAAGCATGCTGGAGGCCCCTTTTACCCCAGGTGGATGCATGGCTTTTTTGATTCTTGTTTCTCAGAGTGTGACACGTGGCCTCTGGGGCCAGTGGGAAGCAGAAAGAAGTGCAGCTCAGAGAAATTCACAGGGAGGAACAGGTGAAAGTTTTAGCGGCCCCTTGCATTTGCGGGTAGGACAAAGACTATTTATTAAATCCATCTTCATCAAACTTCCTTGACCTAATGGTAATATGTCAGTTCTTCATCTTGATGGTGACTTATAAACTGTCGTTTATAATGATGTTCCCCCTTTTAGTTTCATAACTGATTGCATCAGCTCTCGATACAACCTTTGCTGCCTTTGCCAGCTGAAAATTATCTGTTTCTCTTTTCCTGGCCCAAGAACAGTTTAGACTATTCAACAAATTCTCTGGGGTGATAGATTTGTTTGGGAATTTTGTTTCAAAGGATCCCTATATCCATCCAGCAAACAAAAATGTTTGAAAAGAGCCATCTTTTCTTTGATAGCATTTAGTGGCAGGACTTTTGAACAGAGCCACACAAATAAAAAGTTTATTATTATTAATAGGTTATTATTAGGTCATTATGTAAAATATTTTACACCTGCAATTATGTGATAATCATGCTATATTTATGTATATATTTGGATTTGTGAGTTTTGGGATTTGGTATGTTTGCATTTAGTCTCAGATAGATGTCCATGAAATGGCAATCCTCCTGTCTCCTGCCTATTAAAATAAATTGAATTGTCAACCAGTGTATTTCATAAGACAAAGTATTTGGTAAAATTATTTAGATGACAAAATAAGAATTTCTAAAAGTGGGAAAATTAATCTTGAAATTCCCCTGTCTATTCTCCTCCTGTCTGTTACTTGTTTTTTTCTTCAATCTTAATGTTCTATTCACTTTAATTTCTAATACAAATACTATAAAATTATTTTACTTGTAAATTATTTACTGATACCCTGTCTTAAACATGTGAAATGAATTCAAAATGAATCTTAAAGAAGAGTAATATATTCATGAGGTTTGATAGATTTGATTTCAAAATAATAAACCTCCTGAAGTCCTAAGTTAAAAATAGAGTGCCCTGTTTGATCATTTTTCATAAAAAATGTATCTGAGTTTCTGAATAATCTTTAGTAGGAATATTCAATTATCGCAGTTATACTGTGTAAGCTGTTTAGTCTAACTTTGAGGAGGGTAACTTCAGAAGCATTGAGTCTTTTAGTAAATTTGCATTGGGTATGCTCTGGCAAGATAACCTATTCTACAGTAGTGTTTTTAAACTTTCAGTTTATCTAGAGGGCAGCTAAGATGCAATAGTTAATGTCATGGTTTGACACACTTACATTGCATGTAAATAATGGAGATATTCATTCAATGGGAATGAATATATTTTGATTCAGAATATCTTGCAAGAAACTGAAAGGAGCTGGTTGATTCCAAATAAACTTCACCAGTTTACTTTTGTTGGATTTAGTGTTTAAGACAGAGATTGGTTAATTTTTATATAAACCCCAATGATCGTTTATATATTTATTCTTTCACTCATCAATAGTATTTACTCATCAATAGGAGTGCAGGACTACAAAAAAAAAATCAAAGGCAAGTCTTTTTTCAATTCAAGGAATTTTCAATCAGGAGGAAGACTAATAGCAGGCAATTAAATATAATATAAATACTAAAATAGAGGTGTAAAAAGGTTGTCAGGGGTACATAAATGTTGCTTCCAGTCTTGTCTTGGGGAAGATGTGCTTTCTATTTCCAATTGCCAGGAAAAATAGCACTAGCATGTTCAAATGATTACTTAATATTCCTCCTTCCTTGCTTACAGAAGCACTGTTTAAGAGAAACAATGTTTATTACTGATTTTCAAATAAAAAGCTTTCATGCTAATATCTCAAAAATTCCTGAAACCAGAAATGGAAGCGAGTTATACAAATGTACTCACAGTGATCTGTGGCAATGCAGGACAGGAATAGCACAGACAAAACACCTTAAATCTAATTTTATCTAGCTGTTTTGACTTCTTCACTTTTAAGAGCCAAACTGACATAATCTATGTTTACCAGCATTCATTTCCCTTTCTTCACACTTCCTGATGGAAATGTTAGTGTAATGAACAGTCAAATTGAAGAAAACAAAGGATAAAGGAATTTCACTTTCAAACTGTAGGATAATCCTGGAAGTACATGAGCATATGCTCACAGTGTTTATATCTGTATTATAAAGACCAGCATATCAAGGGTAAATATAGTTTATCTTCTCAAAGTGCTGTCCTGGTTCTCAAAATGAGCATTTAATTTTCTTCTCATTGACTGGTTCATAAAAATTTAATCAGTCATCAAAAAAAAAAAAAAGGCGGGGGGGATAAAGGCTTTCTACTACTTAAACAATTTTTTTTTGTTTGTTTCTTTGAGTTTGGGTCTTCCTATGTTACCCAGGCTAGCCTTGAACTCTTGGGTTTAAGTGACCCTCCCACTTTAGCCTCCTAAGTGCTGGGATTACTGCTGTGTGGCCCTGCGCTTGGTTTATAATTTTAAAGAACTTTAATAAATATTAATATTTACGTGTCCTTTATAGGTACTATGCCAAAGACTTTTTTTTTTTGTACTGGGGATCAGACTCAGGTCCTTGTGCTTGTGAGGCAGGTGGCGGAACCACCAAAACCCCTGCCCTATGCCAAAGACTTTTTATATGTAGTAACTCAAGTAGTATTTCACCTCAGGGGTCCAGGGGTGTAGCTCAGTTGTTTAGCATATATGAGGCCCTGGGTTCAGACCCCATCAGCATAATATAAAAAATTTACAAATCAATGCATTCATGGTGAAACATCATTCTCAAAGAGAATATTTTGAAAATCTTCAGAAAAAAGGAATAAAACTGAATGGATAAATTCACTTTGTCCTAAGACTTCATTTACTAAAATTCCTCAGTTGTATCAGTTTTTGAAGAGCTACTAATAGCATGCTATTGCAGCATATATGGATTTTAGACAATATGTGCTAGGATAAGGGTGTTGGAATTCAGTGCTTTCCAATGCTCTGTAGAACTGGCGCCTTCTTGGCTACTTACTAGGTTGTAATACTGACAACCCTAGCTTGGAATGCTTTCTAACTGCTCATTGTTTTGAGGGGTAAATGCTCATACTATGTCTTTTTTTTTAATAGAAAAAAATGACTTTCTTAAAACATTGATATGGTGATCTATCTTCCCCTTAATATTGTTCTATTTCTTTTTTCTAACCACTTATTTACTTGTTTACTGTATACTTTTAAATTATCTGACTTTTCCAAAATATGATATAAGCTCCATGACACTGAAGTTTTTGTCTGTTTTATTCACTGACATGTTGTAGTTTGGAGAGTTAGGACAGCACTTGCCACATTAGGGGACACTCCATCAATATTGATTAAGCAAATTTTCTGAACAATGTTTTAAGAAATTTAAAGAACATCTTTGTTAAGGAAACTTTTTTTTTTTAATAACTCCACAATCATTTTGTGATTTAGGCCCACTGGGGATTCTCCTCTTATTTCTGAAAGATAAAATTTCATCAAAAACTTAAAATTTTTAGTTTGTGCAGCCTGTGAATTTGTTTTACTGAATGTTTGACTTAAAAGATATGTAGCTCCTTAACTTTGAATCATTTTTCTTATTTATGGATAATTTCAATAATGAGTGTTTACTTCCTGTTTTGATAAGTGAAGCAATGTGTTTTGTTTGTATGTCCCAAA